CGTAGAGGGCCATGGACCGCACGACCCCGGCGTAGAGGGCCATGGACCGCACGACCCCGGCGTAGAGGGCCATGGACCGCACGACCCCGGCGTAGAGGGCCATGGACCGCACGACCCCGGCGTAGAGGGCCATGGACCGCACGACCCCGGCGTAGAGGGCCATGGACCGCACGACCCCGGCGTATAACCTCCGTGTTGCTGTGCATAGGTAGATTGCGAAGACGAAAACTTCGAACGAAATCTCCGAGTGACACAGGTAGATGTGTAATTTATTTACTTGTACATTCCATCTCTAAGTTTAAATTTTTTTGTACTTATTCAGCAGGATATGCATTTAGTATTACGAATTACGAATCAGCTGATCGGCCCATCAGCTGATAACTACTGTAGGTATCTACGTGGAATATAAATTCATGACTAGGAAAGAACAATTTAAATCAATCGATCAAATTTAATACACGAATAATATTTTGAACTGAATTTACAATGCGTTTAAACTTAAAATCATGCCCGCAAACAGCTGAGCACTTGATTCCTACCTACTTAGCTGTGTTTTCATTATTTAGAACTTAAATTACTAACTTTAAAATTATTAGTATTCGTCAGACTTGCAATAAAAAGTAATAAGTAACGCATTACACAGTGTTATGAATCAGCTGATGACTAACATTGGTACCTACATGAATTTTCGTTTGAAGATAGGTACGTGTCGTAGGTACTTTTATTGATTGTTTTGTTCTTTGCTACATTCTGACCATTGTTTCTGCTTTCAAGGATTATTAAAAATGTTATTATCAATTTAAAATCATTAACGTTGTACGAGATTATTGTTTCTCTTTCTTAAGTAGGTACGTTACGTAGGTATTATGATTTACATTCTGTAAAGTTTTATTTGAATCTGATCAGTAGTTTTTCCGTGAATCAGTAACAAACACATCCTCATCCACATACTCACTCACACACACACACACACACACACACACATACATCCTCACAAACGTATCGCATTTATAATATTAGTAGGATAAATAATTAACTTACTATTGCCGGAATACTGAAACGTTATTCAATATTAAGTCGTGCTCAAATATCGAGCCATCTCTGTCATTTTACAAAGAATTTGTAGAGATAGAACTATACTTAAGCACGACTTAAAATTGAGTAGCGTTTGCGTTTCAGTATTCTGACATGTCTTATGAAAGTGACAATACAAAATAGAACACCTAGTTCGTAAATATGAGTAGACAATAGATATGGGAGACGTACGTACTTGTTGTTCTGGTTCTCCTCGAAGACGTCCATGAGCCGCGTCAGCAGGTCGCACTCCACCAGCAACTGTCGACATGGCGCTCGTCAGTGTCTCGGCGTCGATCCAACAGATACAGACAGCTCGGGGCCAGGCCGCATGTACTCACGTGTCTGGCGTACTGCGTGCGGTAGACTCGGTTGTTGAGCGCGTTCTTGACCAGCGTGTACACGTGCGCGTGCAGGAAGTTGTTGGCGGGGTACTGGAAGAACATGTCCAGCAGCACCGCCGGCGTGCCCAGCGTCAGCAGCGTGCTCGCCACCTCCTCCACCTCCGAC